GGAGTCCCAGAGGCTTAGTGGCATAGATCCACTGTCTCTTTTGGATATTTGATTTATAATTTATAATGTGTTATATTGCCAATATTAGGGCTTTTTGTTTATTGACAATTATATGAATATATAAATGTAATCATGCCTTTCAAACTATTTCTATTTTTGGTACACTTTGGATGACTGTAATTTTAATATTTGGTTTACTTTGAATTGATTAAAATGGCATGATTATGAGGCCAAATAACTGGCTTGTGTTGAAAATTGAATAAATTATTTATTTTACTTGTTGGGAGTATAAGGATGGACAAATGTGATTTAGCCTAATGGCATGTGGGAGGTAAAAATTTATCTGAAATGTTATATTGTGTGAGTTGAAGCCAATTATAAAATATTTTATATTGAAATTATTGATATAAAAATGTGTTGGGTGGTTGTAACCCAACTATAATTGAGTTAAATTATTTTTTTTAAAAAAATTGGTGTGTTACACATAACTTCCAGTTCAGACTTAGCTGGATTGTCTTCAGCTTCAGCCCATGCCAACTCCTCTTCAGCTGCTACTAGTTGGCACCTCAAGTCCACCACCTTAGCTCGTAATGCTTGGAGATGATCCACGCGAGGAGCGATCTCCTGGACCTGATTAGTGGTAGCAGTTGTTCGGGTCTTGGCAGCAAGATACTCATCCCTTACAGACCAATTGTTTTTCAAATAGTCTGAAAGAAGGGAGAGTTCTTTACGGCAATGATTGATGATACTATAGCACGCGAGGACTTGAGTTTAAAGGAGTGCCAGCTCAAGCATAGAGACTGCCTTCTCCACAGCCTTGAGAGCCCAAATAATCTCCTTGCAATTTTGCTCGGGCATGAGGAGTGGGTCTCGACTGAGTTGAAACTGCACGACCCTCCAAGCATCAAACACCATGTCTATTTTAGGGACATGAATGTGGGCTAGAAGGGCATTAGTAGGAACCACCTCTGATGAAGCAAGATAAAGAAAAAGAAGCAAGGTTAGCAATAAGAAAAAAAAGAAATAGACTAAAAGGAAAGAACAAAACAAGCTAATACCTGAATCGAGTCCACAAGTGCTTTGTCTTTGCTTGTAGAATGGGGAAGGGTATGTGCAGACCACACAACTGATTACAAGACCTTCTCCACACGGCCCACAAGTATAAAGGAGGCAATTTGACCTTGCACCGAGACACCTTGGGTGGAGGCCAGGGCGACTATTGCATTCTCCACAATTGTCGCCTAAAGTCCTTTTAAGAGCCTCTCAAAACCCTTAATAACTATTAGGGTGCTTGCCAAGTTAGTGGGCAGGACCAAACTGATGGGAGGAACCATCCTTGGAGTAAAGGCAGGACCTTGAACTTCATTAGCCCTAAGCTCCAGCTTTATCTACAAACTCCACCTTGCATTGTCTTTGGGCAGTGGATGGGAAGGCTATCTGGTCGATAGCCTCCCAGTCCAATAGCTCCACATTAGGTTGGGGGAACAGCCCTCGAGGGATGCATTAGCTCAATCAAAACTGACTTACCACTAATTGAGGATGATATGACTCTAAGTAGACCTTCAGAGACTTGGAGGAAGAACCAGTTTACGGTAGCCACATTTTTCTAGGAGTAGTGGCTGAGAGAAAGACCTCATCCCTTAACAATAGGGCAGGCTTATTCTTTTGGTCCACTAGATATCTGTACCAGGTGAGAAGGCAGTGATCTAGAACATTGAAAGCCTTTAAGGTCTTTTGTAAGGGACCAGCTTTGTTGACTGAAGAACTCAAAGTTCTTTAAGTCAATCAGTGGATAACTACCTAGAAGGCAACTGAAGGGGTGGTTGGCGTGGGAGTCTTTAGGGAAGGGCTCCTCATGGAGAAGGGGGAAGTAAGCCGTCGTCCACAGCTTCAAGAACCAGATGGGCCCATGGAAGTTGCTGAAAGGCTTCTTCATCAATGACTCCCTCATGCCATCATAGAGGCGGTACAAAAACATCATCCCCAAAGCTATCTGGTTGCCGCAGAGTAGGGACTGGGCAATTCTCAAGTGCAGCTACACTGGGTTCCCACCCCCGAGGCTAGGATCCATTGGCTTAGCAGGATCTAGACAAAGACCAAGTGCTCCTGGGGGTAACTGGCTCATCGACTGGCTTCTTGAAGAACAGCCCCATGATCTTCATATAGGAGCTCGTGCTCTTAATCTTACTCTCTAGTTCGGCTGAGAAAGTGGTGTAGGAGTCATACTTCTCGAGGATTGTGTGGAAGTTCTCCTCCCCGGTGATGGGTAGCCTCAGGTACATGAAGATGTCCTATAACATGATGAATATAAGGCTGAGCTCAAAAATGAAGGCATTGCAGCCCGGAGCCTAAAAACTCAAAAGGGTCGTCAAAAGGTCGATCGGGATGTAAGCTTTGGCCAGAGACTATTGAATCAGGTTGCAAAGACCCATTTCCTTCCACTGGGGCACATATGTCTGCTTCAAGCGTCTCACCCAATTGACCTAAGTGCGAGGAGATCGAAGCTAGTTTCTCAACTTTTGGTATGACAACTCAAGAAAAGGCAAGGTCGTTTGGGCTAAGACCAAATTGCGGATGGAGGTCAGTAGCCAGGGATTTGGTTGAGTGGGAGTAGTCACTTCAAACAGGTCGGGAGAAATGGTCAAGTACCCGATGTCACTCTTATTGGAGATTTGAAGACTCCAAGGAGAAGTACTGGAGAAAAAACAAAGAGCAATTAGTATATTTCCCCTAATAGAATAGAAGGGTCAAACGAGAAAAGTAAAAAGCTTACTAGAAAGCTATGGAATCATGGAACGAAGAGTTTTCCTGTAAAGAAAATAAAGAAATATCATAATGAGGAACCAATCTAGGGGAAATAAGGGTTTTGACATTCGAATACGTATTGTCACAAACCCGCCAAGTGGGGTAACATGATCCCTAATGGTTTCTAGAGAATCAGGCAAACTTTCGATGGATGTGGAAGATGGAGTGATAGTAGAGGTAGTGGCAGAAGTGGAAGAAGCCATTTGAGAGTGAAGGTAAGATAGGAGCAAAGGAGCAAATGCTTGAAGGTTAAGAAATGGCAGAAAGGGCAAGAGAAGTGACCATAAAAAGAAATGAGTTTCTATTAACAAAGGGTGCTCAGAGATGAACTTACGTTATCAGCCACTGGCACGCAGAGGCATTATTTGGGCTAAAATATGAAACGTTGCTCAGATAGGTCATAGGGCTAGTTGGGTTGAGTAACTAAAGAGTCAGGCTCAATATAAACAAAAGGGCTGGCCCCGAAGCTTAATAAAGGCCGCGATAAAATAAACATGTCGAAATCTCGCCAGTTACAAACATTGGATCATTGGCACAAGAAGACACGATCTTGAGTAATTCCTAAATTCGCAAACATCATGCCCAAGTATCTCGATGAGACGGGCTAATTACCAAAAATGGGGAACTGGGAATAAAGATTGTGCCATGAGTTTTGTGAGATCTCTGATTCCTTAGCAAAACGTGCTAAGTATTAAGGGAGAGGCTACCACTACTCTGACCTTATAAATAGAAGATGAAGACACAGAAGAAAGACAGTCAACACTCAATCAAAGACTCGCATTTTACACTTTTTAGCTTTTAGTTTATCAGTTAATTGTTCTACCAAAGTCTTGTATTTTTTTACATTCGAAGTAAACTATGGCAAGGGAGCTCGGGACCCTTTTTGTTATCAATTGAAACTCAGTGTCTTTGACATGCTTGGTATTTGTTGTTTACCACGAACAACTATATATTGTAATGTTATTGTAATTATAATTTGTAATTTTTTTTACTTATTTGTAAGTTATGTGTTTTATAACTTCATTATGTCAAAATTTCAAAAGTCATTCGATGTAAATGTTCTCTAAATGTGTTTTTTCAAATATATTGATCATGTTAATTTTTTTTTATAGTTGTTAACTTTTTTTCAATCAACCTTTGTTTTAAGTGTTGTAGATATCTGATATATAAAAACAAATAAAATCAATGTTAAAAGTAAAGTAATAAATTAATATAGAATACATAACAATTGTTGCATGTTTTCAAATTGGTAAAGATTTAAGATTTCTAAATTTTTTTTTTGGACTAGCTATGCTCTCTTGGACTTTGTATTTATTCCATTTTTATTTAGAGCAAGTTCTTTTTAAATGAATAAGTTAAATAATCATTCATAATTAAAATTCAATGCAAAACGAATTGATAAAAATTAATTTTGAAATTAAATTAATTGGAATCATTTTCAATTTTTTCCAAATTAGTAAAAGATTAACTTTTTGGTTTATATCTTTTTCAAATTTATTTTGAAGACTACTTTAAACTTAATTGTATCATAATTTTAATTAAAAGAATCTACACAGAAATATCATGTGTTTCATAAATTATTTTATTTAATAATTAATTAATAAAATTTATAATTTTTAATTTGAAACCACCTATACTTTATAAATGTTAATAGCATTTAAAACTTATTATTCTAATATTTATAATTTTTAATTTGAAACCACCTACACTTTAGAAATGTTAATAGCTAGTGTTAAAAACTTACTTTCACATAAAAACATTTTATGTTATGAATAATTATTAAGTATTATTATCTATTTAAAATTATTTTTTTTATTTTTTACACAGCCCATATGTCATAGGGGTCACATATTGATTATTATAATAATAAGTTAAGACTAAATAATTAAGGACTTATTTGACAACCTGTTTTAAAAATAATTTTCTATTCTCCAAAATAAAAAAAATAAAAAAATTTATTTAATAACATGTTTTTAAACAGTATTTTAAAAATAAAATAAAATATTATTTTAAAAAATAAAAAATAAAAAATAAAAAAAACTTTAAAGTATTCTGAAATTACTATTTAAAAAATAATAAAAAACATTTATTTTTATTTTTTTTATTTTTAAAATATATTTTATAAAATATTAATTCTTAAAATAATAAAATAAAAATAATTTCAAACGGTACTAATGATTAGTAACTTGGTGCCCCTGCTCTCTCAGCTCATTCCTCCCTTGCGTAAACGCCCATTCCGCCATCCACTCAGCCCGCAGCAAACGAAGCCCTGGCCCCTTCCCTCCGCCGCCACCGTCGATCGGACGTCTTTTAGTTGCCTCTCCTCTGATCTGCACTACTCCGTCACCTCGCTCCTCTCATTAGCGCCGCCTCTCCTCTGATTGGCGCTGCTCCGTCGCCTCTCTCCTTTGATTCGCGAGGCGCCATCGCCTCTGCTCTGATTCGCATCACGCCGGCTCTCTTGCCTCTGATTCGCACTGCGTCGTTGCCTCTCCTCTGATTTAGATCTCGCCGTCACCTCTCCCCTCTGATTCGAGTTGCTCGTTGTGGGTTCTCTGATTCCTTCACGTCTGCTGGCTCTGAGGTATTTTTGCAACTTGCTAATGTTGTTAATTTCTTGTTCATTATATGAGATTCTCTCATGTTGTGGGTCCTTCGATTCCTTCACGTTCTGCTGTTAATTCGAACATGAATAATGAGTTATGACAATTGTCTCATGTTGTGGCATTTAGACATTGTATTTGAATAGCTAGAACAAACCAGCCCATTTAATAGTCTAAAATTCTTGTGTGTATTGCTGTGAAATGGCAGAGATTAAATTGTTAACGACTCTCTGTTTTTTTATTTAATTAAATTGGCAGCGACTAAGCTGTGAAATGGTTTGTGTGTATTGCTGTGAAATGTTAGAGATTAATAAGTTTTTGCTGTGAAATGGATTATTGCTTTAGGAAAAAATTTGTGAATATAAGAAGGAAAGTTGTGATGTGAATTGTTTTATTTTTAATAAGAATAATTTGATTATTTATATAAATTTAATAATGATAAAAATTTTTTTAAAGATTTTAGTGAAATTATGGTACTCTGAAGAATTAAATTATCATTTTATATTAAAAAAATTTTATTGTTATTTTTTTATTTTTTAGCATACAAAAAATAATTTTTTAATCTATATATTTTATTTTATTTTTATCTTTCAAATATTAGTTGATAGTTGATGTTCATGGTAGGCTACTTCGATGCGATTATCTTCCCAGTCAAATGATAACCCCTCTCCTTTTGTAAGGACTAGAGATCCATTTTTCTTGGCCGACGCTCGACAGAACAAGCATTCTACACTCAGTTGAGTTCGCCGTCTGCTGTTGTCAGAACTGTGTGGTTGTTCTCAGGCAAGTATTGAAGAAGGTTCAAATCCTTTGGCTTTTTCTACTCCCAATATCCTGTGAGATTGATTTGTTCAATCTGGCTTTGAATCTAGACTTTAATGTATTCCTTGCGTCATCTGTTCCATGTGTTGTTACCAACCGTTTGCCGGACATGCCGCACTGTTTCTTATTTTGTTTTAAAATTTTCATTTTAATTTGGCTTTGAATCTGACCGTGTAATCGTTTGACTATTGACGCTTTTGAATAAATATTGAGTTTACTTGTTTTTTTAAAAACTTTTATTACTAGTTTTTGATTCAATTGTGTGTAATCTGCTATTATACTTCTCCCCTCTTCATTTTTGATTACTAGCGACTTCTATGCTTTGGATTATTTGTTGTGCAATGTTGGATTTGTTATATATTGGCATTCTGTTTATTCTTTATTTTATCATCTATTTAGAAAATTCTCAAGGTATTTGTGATGCATGATCTGGTAATTGCTTAGGTCGAGTTGTGTTTAACAATTTAGAAGCTTGAAGTTTAAATTGTCATTCTTCAGTGGCTTACTAAGCATCTTTGTCAAATTATCTGGAGCAAAAATTAAGAGGATACTATATCAATTATTCATATTTCAAAGGGGCATCTGCCCCCTGTATATTTCAATGGTATCGAGTTAGGGATTATTATTCCCAGATCAAACCTCTTAATTAAATTCAACTTGTGCTTGTAAATTTCATCTTCTGTACCTTAGTGAAGTTTATGGAACTGCTACGCTGCATTGTTCTCCTAATTTGTTGACGCATCTATTTTATGGAAATGGAAATTCATTGTCATTTGCTCATGAATTTGGGTTTATTTGAATGGTTTCCGAATCAGGTTGTCTCCTTTGCTGAAATTTCATTGTTCTGCTGATGCATTCCATCAATTTGGTCAGATGTGTTTATCTTGAACTGTAGTTTAGGTGTTTGCCTCATTTCCTATGTAGGGAAGACGAGTTGCTAAAGAAGCCCAGCGCTTCTCACAACTTGAGCGGTATTAGCTTTAGCCAGTTGCTTGATTGGCGGTGCCTTTGGTATCTTCAGCATCAGCCAAGGTCTGAGGCACCTTGCTGGACAGGAAGGGCCAGAGCGGAAACCCAATCCAAATGTTTGAAACATTCATAAGATGAAATAGGAAACTGGAAAATCTAACCTTAGAAGCTCAGACCAATTTTAGATGTATACGAATAATGTAAAATATTGATTCTCGGAAAAAAAAAAAAATCCCCTGAAAGCTAAAGACTAAAATGAGGCAGTAGTTAAGCTGTGAAAGCATCACATGGTGCAACTGGATTATGGAATGTTATTGCAATTTCATAGCAACCCAAATTTTTCCTTTTTATGCTGTATTGTGTGCTCTTGTAAACCTGGCTGAAGAGATGGCCATGGGTGCCACGTGAACCTAGGCTACTAAGTGATCAATTTTATATCCACTTCCCATCCACAAGATTGGGCAAATTTGACTATTCTATATCCTTTCTTTCTTCTATTCCACTTGAAGGAAATGGCATCACTTTTTCCAACAAGAATCAGCCCATGTACTTTCTCACATCAATTCCCTTTTAATTCCTCCAATCTCCCACCATATCACCATGTACTTCAATAGTTAGTGCAAAGACAGCGATGCGCTGTTATTTTAGGGATGACAAATTGTTTGGCTATTATGAGTACCCTGGTATATGTCAAGTATAACTGAACATATCTTTCTGTACCCAGGCCACGTCACAATATGGGGTATGGATATATTAAAGAATATATGTACAAGGTACACAATGGACTTGGTAGGTGTAAAAATGGAAAGGCAAAATAATGGGGGAGACAGGTAAAAATGGTCAGTCCTGCCAGGCACTTAATGTCTAGATATTTTGTAAATTTTCACCATGGTTCTTTGTGGGGTGCATTTTTCTGCTTTTTTCTGGTACATATCAGATGCATGGGTTGGCCAATTTGGAATTACTGTGCTTATGTAATTGACAGGGTTTTGACTTAATCTGCTGTGCATCCCTACTGATAGAAAATGCAATTCTTTGGGGGATCAGAGATCAGTCCATCTCCACCTGCTCGTACAGGAGCAGGAAACAATGCCCATATGATGTATATTTTCAACAGAAATGGGGCATGCTTGCTATACAGGGAGTGGAATCGTCCTCTTTGGACGTTGAATGCTCAACAAGACCACAAATTAATGTTTGGTCTACTCTTCTCCCTTAAGTCGCTAACTGCCAAGATGGATCCTACCAGGTATGTTTATCTCATCTGGGTTTTAAAATACCAGAAGTCTATTATTGTATTGCCATTTTCTTCCAATGAAGATGCATACTATTAGATTCTAACTTTTTAGTTTCTCAAGGCAACAAGTAACTTAATGTGACAAAATTGGTGGAATGATTCATGTGCTATCAGTTTTAAATTTCTTATTTAGTGCAAGAAAGATTGATGGAAATCTACATTATCTTGTTGTAGAAGGTGCAAATGGCTTAAGCTTTCCTTAAAGGTAGGCATGGTTACCCAGATTTGTGTAGAGCAAATGTTTCAGCCTAAAAGTTTGTTAGCATATTAGCCTTTGATAAGGGTCTAAGTCAGCATAACAGGCCCATAATCACTTATCAACACAGAAAGAGGAGGAAGATAACAGAAAGTGATGCTGTTATGCAGATTATGAGGATTTATCTGATTTAAATTAATTATTTTCTGTTATTTTAATTAATTGTTGTTTTGTTTTGCTGTTAGCAGCTGAATAATAGGACCTCAACTTTGTTAGTGAGGTACCGACATACTAGTCAGTTATTCTCTGATTTTTAGGCTATTATTTTGCATTATTTGATATGTTTAGTTGTAATTTCTGATTATAAATATCCTAGCTTCTATACCAGCCGGATATGATTGAGAAATAAACCTTATTTTCCCTTGGAGATCCTCCTATTTGGCTATTAAGTTCATTAGAGTGAGATTCTTGGTCTATTTAATTTAATAGATTTTTCCTTTTCTTTCATAATTGTATCGAGCTTCTACCAAATTGGTATTCAAGCCTCGTTTGATCGATATGGTGACCACTCACTCCGGTAACAAAACTAACCATGCCAACTCCTCTAACAACGCACCCCATGGTCAGCCTAATGAAAACCTATTTGCATCATACCCTGTAGCCATCATTGTATCCAGACTTGTAACACTTATTAAAAGAGAAGGTTGAAGCACTTGAGGTATCTTTTAGCAAAGGTAAAAGACACGTGGGAGGCTCTTGTAGACACTCACACTGGGATGAAGACAGTGATGAAGAGTTAGACTATAGAAGAGGTCCAAGTCCACGACACACTAAAATTGAATTCCCAAAATTCAGTTTAGGTGACCTCTGTGGTTGGATTTTGAAGGCTGAGAAATATTTCAAGTACTATTAGACATCGAAAGACTCGAAGGTTGATATGGCTTCCATATATTTAGAAGGAGATGCTTTGGATTTATTCTGATGGATAAATTTAGAGCGTACCTTGGTTTATTGGACAAGTTAGTCAGAACACTGCAAGCACACTATGGTCCTCTAGAGTATCAAAATCCTAATGAACATCTTGCCACCATCAAGCAGACTGGATCAGTGAAAGAGTTAGTCAGGAATTTGCTAAGTGAGTTGCATGAGTTCATAATGGGCTAGAGCACTGCCTCTTGGGTGTCTTTCTTGGAGGTCTCAGAGATGACTTGAAATCTTATTTGCGAATTCAGAAGCCTCGCATAGTGTATAAGGCCACTAGTCTAGCCTTAGAATATGAGAAAAAGGCACAGCTGCATTGTGGGCCCAAGCCATGCTCTTCTTTAACCCAAACTTGATTCACTATGACCTCCAGCATGCTCGCACTTGACCAATAGGGATCTGCCCTAGCCTTCTTGCTGAACGTGTTCAAGAGCTCTTTTGCGCCTTCTTCGAGTGCAATAAGCAAGCACAGCCACGCCATGCCTTCCTCTCTTGGACATTGAATAGCAGCACCATAGGGATAAGGGGCTTTCTTTCCATTGTGGGGAGCTTTTTCAGCTTGGGCATCATTGCAAGACAGCTTCTCTATTACTCATGGAGATTGATGAAGATAGGCAACCCATTTCCAAGACCATCGAAGGTTTACTAGAGATAGAGGACGAGATTTCTGAGGTAGCTGAGATTTCTTTTAATGCGATAATGGGTAATTCAATAGATGCCACCATGAAGCTTAGTGGGCTGGTTCAAACTCACCACGTGTTGCTGTTAGTTGATAGTGGCTCCAGGCATAATTTCATCTCTAACTCCTTGGTGGAAGAACTGAGTATACTCACATAGTCTGTGTCTACCTTCAAGCTTTAGATTGGCCGGGTCATTCATTGCAAAAAGGTGTGCAAAGATGTTGAAGTAAAATTACCAAGTTTGTCACTTAAATAGGATTTTTTCCAAGGTACTAAAAACTAGACTGGTCATTGAACTGGCGAAGGTTTGGGGTTCAACCTCAATTTGGGATCATATAAACTAATTTATTTTTAGTTCTACATAGATTAATTCAAATAAAATATTTTAAAAACAATAAACTTACCTGATAATAAGATTAAAGTTTTTTTGCAGATTAAAAAATAATAACTAGTATATAATATTAAAGATACATGCAAATATAATTTCATTTAAAAAAATTAAATGAAATATTATATTGTTTTGGTAAAATATAAAATATTATACCTAGATAACTATTAATATTTGTATATGGGAAATTAAAGGTTTTTTGAATATGTAAATAATAAACAATGCTGTTACAGATTTCTATAGGCTAACCCTAGGAAGAAAAAAAAAGTCTAACAGGTAGGAGTAATAAGCAAGGGATACGTGTGTTGTGGTGGCAGAAAAAGTGTGTTGGATAGTGTGAAGGAGATAATTTAAATATCAGCCCGCCCAACTCGCCTGACTCGTGGGGTTGGGCAGGTTGATCTGGGTTAATCCTGGGTTACCTGGGTCAACTGTGTCCACCTTGAAATAGAAACTCGGACCGGATGCACGGCTGGTCCGGTTTTAAAAACAATGATTTTTCCCTTTTTCTCTTGTGGCCACTAATTTAGTATTAGGGATCAAATGGTTGGCTTCCCTGAACACAATTCAAGCTAATTGGAATGAGATGTTTTTAATTTTTTGGGTTGATGGCAAGAGGTACAAGCTTCAAGGAGTACCTTCGACCTCAAACTAGAGAGCTAGTCTTCACTCCATGTTCTTTGTTGAGCTCAAGTTAGGGTCTCCTAGTGTCAAGTCATTAGATGTGGATGAGCTCACGGTTGAATTTGATGGTTTGTTTGTTGAACCAACCATACTGCTAGCTTTCAGAGATTACTTTTGTAATGCCCCTTCCAACATTACAATACTGTGCACTCAACTTCAATAAATACATTTATACACAAAAATCATAGTTTTAAAAGGGTTGGGATCCTAAGGAAAAAAATATTTGAAAACCATTTAGAGTTATTCAAAAGTACACATTTATGCTCAGCGGAAGCACATGGATTACAAACATAGCGTGTGAAGAGAAAATTGGTCATAAACAAAGCATGTGGTACAAAGCCACGAATCCTCATTCTGTGATGTGCCTCGGCGCACGTATTAGATTTTGCTATCAAACAAACACTTGATACGAACTTTCGACATGCACAGTTTTTACAATCGGTGTTCGATTGGGGTGATTTAAGTGCTCACACGAAATTTTTTTCAAATTCTAACTAATGACATCGGTTTCACTTTAATTCGATATTTTATTTGAAAATTTGACATCTGAATGCAAAATGACTGTTTTAAGTCATTTTTCACTCACCCAAGCACCCCAATTTCAAATTATATGTCATTAGCGACTTTTAGGGCCTTGATCACATCCGGTAGAACATTTTACACTTGATTGAACATTCATATTATCAATATCACACATACACACAGTTTAGCTGCCAAGTTGCTCTTACACATACTCACTTGGGCAAAACCGCATATTTACACATGTCTATACACGCTTGGCCAAACTTCACACATCTACCACATCAAACATACTAATGCACTCAACATAATAACGTAGTCCTTATTTACCAAAGGTCATCACACATCACACACATACACACAATAGGGCTAAGTTACACATAATGGCATTAGTGCATTAGACATCACACATATATGCAATTCTAGGGCAACTTATATACAACAACAACAACAACAGCAAGCCTTTATCCCACTAGGTGGGGTCGGCTACATGGATTGCAAGACGTCATTGTGCTCTATCATTTATCAAGCTTTTAGGAATATTATTAATTAAGAGATCGCTTTCAATAACTTCCAAGAGTGTTCTCTTAGGCCTTCCTCTACCTCTTTTAATTGGACTCAAAGTTATATATTCCACTCTTCTCACTGGTGCTTCCCTTGGTTTTCTTTGTACATGCCCAAACCATCTCAACCGATTTTCCACCATTTTTTCCTCAATAGGTGCCACCCTCACTTTTTCGCGTACATGCTCATTTCGAATTTTATCTTTACGTGTATGTGCGCACATCCATCGTAACATTCTCATCTCTGCTACTCCAACTTTATGCTCTTGCTGTCCCGTTAGAGCCCAGTATTCACTACTATATAACATTGCCGGTCTGATAGCAGTGCGATAAAACTTTCCTTTAAGTTTATTAGGCACCTTACGGTCGCAAATAACTCCTTTAGTTTTTCTCCAATTAAACCACCCAGCTTGAATTCTATGTGAAATATCTCCACTGATTTCGCCATCATTTTGAATAATGGCTCCCAAATATCTAAACTTTTCCACTTGAGGTATAATTTGGTCTCCCAATTTCACTTCCAAATTATTGTCGAATAGTCCTTTACCAAATTTACAATATAAATATTCCGTCTTACTTCTACTCAGACGAAAACCTTTCGACTCCAATGTCCTCCTCCATAACTCAAGTTTGCAATTAATCTCTTCTCTTGTCTCTGCTATAAGAACTATATCATCCGCGAAGAGCATACATTTTGGAATTTCCCCTTGAATATGTTCCGTCAAAACATTTAAGATCAAGTTGAACAAATAAGGACTCAGAGATGATCCCTGATGTAGTCCAATCTTTATAGGAAAATCCTTTGTTTGACCACTAGGCGTTCTTATACTAGTTCATTACAATATAATCATGAACTCAAGTTCATTACATCCACTCTATTAAGCTATTAGTAGTCCACTGCTACTCGTGGCCCAACTTTTTCCTTCTACTACTCATGATGTCAAATCCTATAAAAAAGGATAACCATGAGTAAGATGAACATCTTAGTAACCAAAATAACTCATTCATGTCTATTAATAGGAATGATTCTAAATAAGGAAACAAAATGATTATGATGCATTCATGAATACTATTTATATATTTACGCTTATAATCATTTCCATAAAACCAAACACATACTCGCATGATCATTTATCCACCAAACCTTCTAGCTCCCCAATTGAACTCAAGCTCTATTAGACCAATTCTATAAATGTTGATTTGAGCACACTTGTAGTGGTAGAAGCACCTGGCCAAATATTTTCTATCCCACTTTTGGATTGTGGTTTTTCCTTTCAATTTCAAACATACACGATAGGGGTGTTGTTGACTCATAATTGCACCCTTTCAAACACTAGGGAGTTGCGAGATTGCCTTGATGTGCCATGGTAATAGCCTCAAATATGTAGTTGCACTAGATGCCACATGGTACCAGTTTGATCATATGGATTTTATTTTCATGCATCTCCGCATACTCAAGGTGAACTCTGACCGTTTAACATGATCATGCCACTTTCTCATGCAAATAATCACCTTAGCATATTTCACATGCTTATATATGTATATATATAATTCCCTTTTAAAACAATTCGTAAATACTTTAATAGATGTATCAAAACTTTTTTCAAGGCCAAAACATGTAAGTTGCAAAACATGTCGATATAAAAATCATGAATTATATTATCACATTCACTTATAAATATTTAAATTTAAATCAGTTAATAAACATAACAAATTATTTGGTTACCTCAACCTATCTGTACTTTAGAAAGGTTATCTGTGGTGCTATATACTCTCTCCAATTCCTTTTGTTAGGTCAACGTAAAATTCATAGTAATCTACACAATTAAATTCTATTAGTCAATTATCAAATTGACTAAAAGCCTTAATTGTTATAATTAATCACAATTAACCACCAAAGAATCCTTACTTAAATAGTTTAGGTCCCTATCATCCTATTAGTTCATGTTATCACTTTTAACAGCCCTAACACACTTCTTACTCCTTTTCACCCATCAAATTAGGCCGAATCACGCTTATAGCTTCAAAACTGAGCCGTTAACTTTCAAACCTTAGTTTAACTCTTAAGAGTCTTTTTATTACAAAAGGGTAAGAAAACAATCCCTAAAACCTCCTCGATTCAATTTTTCTATACCTCAAACTAAGAGAAATCATTTTAGAATAGGAGCTTCGTGAAGTATGAAACTTACTTGATAAGCAATAGGTCGAAAATACCTCTTAGTGGTCTATTCTTCCTTGCCCCAGTAGAGGATTGTTTCTCCTCCTCCTTCGTTCCCTTTCTCTCTTCTTCTCTCCTTTTACAAGCTGATAACGTCCTTTAAAGTAAATTTTTTGTGCCATGCGCCGCGGCGCATGCAACATTTGCTGCGGTGTGTGGCATAGTAAAGAAAATTTCATTGTTGCTTGCGCATTTTGTTTCGAACCCCCATTCTTTCACTTGTTCCTATCCATTCAACAACTCAAGAAGTCAACACATCAATTTATCACCTAAAATCCTAATTATCTAATTAACTGACTAAATTATTAATTTATCCTTTAGTTAGTAATTAATTTTTGGATTAGAAATTTAGGATATTACAACTTTCATGCCATCCATCTTCTGCAGGGAGCTCAACCTCCTCACTTGTGTCCAATGATTAAAAAACCAGACTGAACCAGGTTGGTCAAGCCAAAAAAAAACCGTTTGGGTAGTTGGGTCGGATTGGGCCACTTTGGACTAGCGGTTGGACCAGGAATTGGGATCAAGTCCGGTTTTTTAAAAAAAATACTTTTTTTAAATTTTTTAATCAATTTTTATTTATAAAATGACCATTTTTTTAATCATTTTCTGTTATGCTGTATCATGTAGCTTGTTAAGTCAGGATAAATTTAAAATATTTGGTTTTATTAAGTTAAGTAGCAATTTTATATTTATTTCTCATATTTAGATTATTATATACATATATAGTTTTTTTAATTTAATTATTACGTCATTGGTTTTGACCATTAATCCAACCCGATTAGACCATGCGAATTGTGAATAGCTGGCCTTTCTGGTTCAATATCCGGACTGGTTCTGAAAACATTGCTTGTGTCCTTATTGCTATCCTTATTTCCAGAAGACTAAGATTGAGTAGCAGGTGGATGAATTATTACAGAAAGTTTTCATATAGCTAAGTTCAAGCCCTTTTACTAATCCGGTTTTATTAGTGTAAGAAACAGGATGACCCCTAGAGGTTGTGTGGACTATAGGGCCCTGAACTAGATCACGGTCCCAAACAAATACCCGATTCCCAACATTGATGAGCTTTTGGATGAGTTACACGAAGCAACTTATTTTTCAAAGATCGACCTTCGCTTTGGTTACCACTAGATACGGGTCTTGCCAGGTGATATTCATAAAACAACATGTTGAACTCATAGTGGACGCTATGAATTCATTGTAATGCCCTTCGGATTGACAAATGCACCAGCCACTTTTCAAGTAGCCATGAATGATCTTTTCTATCCTTATCTTTGGAAATTTGTGTTGGTTTTCTTTGATGACATCATAGTTTGCAGTCCCACTCTAAAACATCATGTAGATCACCTCCAGTTGGTGTTTACTATGCAGCAACAACCATATTATGCCAACTTCAGGAAATGAGAGTTTGGGCAGACTCGTGTCTTTTTTAGGGCATAAAGTTTCAGCACAAGGAGTGGAAATAGACTTTGAAAAGATTAGTACCGTAAGTGAATGGCTAGTACCTACAAATGTTACTGAGCTCCCAAGCTTTCTGGGGCTCACTAGTTACTAAAGAAGGTTTGTCAAGAATTATGGTATTATTGCTCGTCTCCTTACTGGATTAACTAAGAAGAATGCTTTTGTTGGACTCGAAAGTTTAAAGAGCTTTTGAGAAGCTTAAGCTTTATCTTATTAGCCCCTATTTTGAAACTTCTTGACTTCATAGTTGAGTTTGTTGTGGAGTGTAATGCTTCGATGGAAGGTGTGGGGGCTATCCTCATGCTGCAGGACCACCCCATTGCCTTTTTTAGCCAGGGGCTATCTTTCTCTAGAAGGTTTCAGTCAACTTATGATCGGGAACTATTAGCTTTAGTGCTTGCTCTCCAAAAATGGCATCATTATTTGTTAGTAAGACATTTTACAGTAAAAGCCAATCATAGCAGCTTGAAAAATTTGTTGCAGTAGAGAACTTTAACAAATATTCAATAGCGTCTCATCCTTAAGCTCCTTCCATTCAATTTCTCCATTTTGTATTAGGCTGGTAAGGGGAATATTGGAGCTGATGCACTATCCAAAAGGCCACAGCATGCTGATTTTCTCAACTTGGTTGTTCTTGTGCCTTCAGATTTCTTAGAATTAAAAGAGGCTTTGACAACAGATTCTTTTACAGCTTCTATTGTCACTGCTTTGAAAGAAAATCCCAGTTCTTGTCCCTGTTACAGTCTAGTTGAGCAGAAATTTTATTTTAATGGGCGCTTGGTCATTCCCTGCAGTTCCTCTCCTCTCCTCTCCTCTCATCTCTCCAAGTTGCTGCAACAGGCACATGTGACACCTTTTAGGGGCCATGGTGGCTTCTTAAAAACTGTCAAGCATTTACCAGGTATGGTTTACTGGCCTAAACTGAAATATGATGTAAAAGCTTTGGTTCAACAATGCTTTACTTGCCAAAAGAACAAATATCAAACTCAATCGCTAGCAGGTTTGCTGCAACCTTTATCGGTTCCTGAACAAATTTGGGAGGATAACTCTCTTGATTTTATTGTTGGGTTGCCCAAATCTGATGGTTATGATGCTATTTTGGTGGTAGTTCATAGGTTGAGTAAATATTGTCATTTCATTCCCCTTTCACATCCCTATACTGCAAAATCTGTGGCTGCTTGTTTTTGTGAGGAAATTGTTTGGTTGCATGGCATGCCTTGTTTTGTTCTATCAAATTGAGGCTCGCTTTTCTCGAGTTCTTTTTGGTAGGAGTTATTCAAGCTAAGTCAAACTTGCCTTCGGATGAGTATTGCATACCACCCTCAAACCGATGGTCAGACTGAAGTGGTAAACTATTGCCTTGAGATGTATCTATGGTGTTTTGCACATGAGCAGCCACATTCTTGGAGTAAGTTCTTATGTTGGGCTGGATTCTCATTCAACACTAGTATCCATATTTCTGCCAACACTACCCCTTTCAAAGTGGTATATGGTATCCTTTCATTATGGGTGAAACTCACGTTGCTGAGCTTGCTGACCAACTGGAAACTAGAGATCATATGCTGCAACTAGAGATCAATATAGGCGTGAGCTTTCTTTTGAGGTGGGGGATGCAGTTTTCTTGAGGATACAGCCTTTCAGGCAGCATTGTTGTCCCATAAGAAGTATGACAAGCTGTCACCTCGTTTCTTTAGACCTTACACCATATTTGCAAGATTGGATCAGTGGCCTATGAATTGCAGCTACCTTCAACAACTAAAATTCATCTGGTCTTTCATGTCTCATTATTGTGACCAGCCCACGGGATGCCCTCTCTTGATCCTCTAGCAGATTTGCCATTGTCAGCTGATTTTGAGCTTGTTTTGGAGACTGAAACTGTTCTATCTCACCGCTCGAAGGGACCCCAAATGGAGCTGTTAATCAAATGGTGGTCTAGATCTGAAGAAGAATCAAGTTGGGAAGATATGATTTGTTTGCACAGCAATTTTCCAATTTGTGCCTTGAGGACAAGTCGTCTTTTTTTTTTTTTTTTTTTTGGAGGGGGAGTAATGATAAGCGTCCAAGTCAGCATATCAGACCCATAATCACTTATCAATGCAGAAAGAGGAGGAAGATAACAGAAACTGATGCTGTTATGCAGATTATGAGGGATTTATCTGATTTAAATTAATTATTTGCTGTTATTTAAATTAATTGTTGTTTTGTTTTGCTGTTAGTAGCTGAATAATAGGACCTCAACTTTGTTAGAGAGGTACCAATGTACTAGTCAGTTATTCTCTGATTTTTTGGCTATTATTTTGCATTATTTGATTTGTTTAGTTGTAATTTCTGATTACAAATATCCTAGCTTCTATAACAGCAGGATATGATTGTGAAATAAACCTTATTTTCCCTTGGAGATTCTCCTATTTGGCTATTAAGTTCATTAGAGTGAGATTCTTGGTCTATTTTATTTAATAGATTTTTCCTTTTCCTTCATAATTGTACTGAGCTTCTAACAGCTTTGTACAAGTATGCAATGCTAGCATTAAAATATTTTAGACCCGTTTTTCCTTTTTCTTCTTATAAATAGATAAGCCTATTAATCTTTGACTCCTTTCTTTACCTGCTTTAAAAAAAAATTATAAAGGTAACATTTTTTTTGGCTGAAATAACGATACTTATTTACTATAATTGGATCTGTGTTTTTGTACCCTGATTCTCCTAGTTTTATAAGCCCCTTGTCTGTTGTATGCCATACGACAGCCACATGCATGCTCCATGCTTTACCTGTTAAGTTATTTGATTATCCTAACTATCATAGGTCTTATTTTATTCTAATTTTGAATTTGAATCTTTGTGAAAAGAATAATATGCTGATGAAATCACGGGAGGTCTCGTGGCATTATTGCTATGGGTAGGTTTAATATCTTCATTCTCCTCAATTTTGTGCAGTGCAGAGAAAGGAAACCTTGGTGTGCCTCAGTTACCTGGCCAAGGTTGTTCCTTCCATAGTTTTCACACCAATACATACAAACTTAGTTTCATGGAAACTCCTTCTGGAATAAAGGTCAGTTGCAATGATATTCCTTTTATCCCTAAACTTTATAGAGGTCCTTTTGTATGCAGTCTGTTCTGAAATTCTGAATTGGATTATTTTGCTCTGACTTGTTAAATTAATCTCTTTGGTGTTGTGATAGATGGTTACAACTATGGGGCATGTTGCATGCAATATTTTATATAAATTATTGTCAATAGTGGCAGCCATGGTATAATGGCTTGGCTATTTAGATGCTTCTTGCTTTAATACCCTATAGCAAGATTGTTGCTATCTTCAAGTTTTCCTTGCCTCAGCCAATGCACTTACTATTTTTGGATGTATAGTGTCTATGATAAAATGTAGTAGTTAACAAAACAGAGAACCTATGAAGCACGGAAATGCCAAAATGTGCACCGTTTTCGTGTCAGACATGTATCTGACACGGACATGCATCCTGTACGCAGATGCGGCGTGTGCTTTTTTTTTTTTTTTGTTTTTTCTTTGGGCAAAACGGGTGGCTGCCGGTGGACATGGGTGGGCATGGGCAGGATGTGAAACAACGTTTTGGGTGTTTTTGGTCATAAGAACAGTTGCCCAACTTTGCTAGACGTCGACTGATCCCTTTCATTTCCAAGTCCCTCGCCTGACTCGTGTTGCTTTGTCTTTGACCCAGTACCCTCCATTGCCATCAACTTCTGTCCTTCCCTCCTCCTCTGTCCGGTGAGGTAATATTCTCCTCTGTTGCTCTCTATCTTTGGCTCCACTTTCTCAATCACTGTTTCAGTGTCTTCCTCAGTCATTGTGTCACTCTCTGTCTCTCCTCTTTAGTTGTGACTCACGAGGTAATATTCTTGAGCTTAGTTGCTGTTCTTTGTTATTATGTGCATAGAGTGAGCGCTGATTGGAGAGCTATTAAAAAAAAGTTTGGTTTCCCCTTTCATCTATTGACTTTAATTTTGTCCTCTTTCACGATCCTATTAAAAAAAATGTTTGGTTTCCTCTTCTATTTCTTGTCGATATTGGAAAGTCCTTGTAGTTATAATTATGGCAAAGCTTGAATTTTGGTAATTTTTATTTGTTTGTTTTAAATTTTTATTAGCTCTCCTCATGTTAAAACATGCAGGAAATTATTTACAATTTTTCAATGTTTATTAATTTAAGTTGATCATGATCTTTTGCCACTTAATAGTGCTTAATTATTTAATTATTTATATGTGTATCTAAATATTTAATATTTAATTATTTATATAGCCATACTTATGTCCTAAAATTTTTGAAAATTGCTGTATCCGTGTATCATACAGTACTGTATCCAATACTGGTACCCATATCAGTGCTTCATAGCTGAGAACTCTCAAGAAAGCATGCTTCTTTGTGATCTTGTTTTTTGACTTTGAAACAGAGAGTTCCGTAAGGGGTTTCTTATGCCTTTAAATCTTGACTACCCTTGCTGAAATCCACATTCCAGTCTCTAGAGAACTGCTGCAATCTTAATCCAGATTTTCCTTCATTGTTGAGTTTTCTGTACACATCTCTGACTGTAGGTCTTTCATCTCGTAATGACATTGATGATAATAATACTTAGGATGAAGAAAAAGATGGCTGTAAATCCACTGGTAGTGATGAGAGGGATGCGGGGCTGATAATATAGGCTATGAAGATGATGATTTCAACTTCTTCAGAGACTTAATATGAACTGAATGTGAAGAGGATTACTTTATACCGTTTAAGTGTGGCTTTTAATGCTTTACGTGTTGGTAGCAGAATGATAAAATTAATGATTTACATCCCATTGGCCTGTTCTGAAGCAGGGAAATTGAGCCTCTTAGGTGGAGCAAGAAGTGCGTGAATCATGATTGAATAAGTTAACATGTCAAGTTTAATTAATATCTGTTGTATGATAATGTTAGGATAAATTTTAAATTGTCTAGACAAAAAATGCCCTCTTGACAATCAAACAAATATCGCTGGCAGCTAACACTTTTTGCTGATATTTTGGAAAAAAGTTCTGATTTGTGTTCAGGAATGAGATTTTAATGTATTAATATTGATGCACTTCTATTCTGACGTTACTAGGAATTCTACATGATTTTTATGCTTCATGCAGATTATCTTGGTTACTCATCCCAGGACAGGTGATCTGCGGGAATCACTGAAGTACATCTACAACTTATATGTTGAATATGTAGTCAAAAATCCGCTCTATACACCAGGTTCTCCAGTTAGGTAATTTAATTCATATCTAATAAATGACAGTTGTCCAGCTGTCATATGGTCTCATGCAATTTGCATTCCTATCATTTCAAACCATAGTTATGGGCTTTGACACATCTGGCCATCATCAAGCATCCTTCGTACTGATTGCCTACCCTTTACTTGCTAAGTTCATGGCAGTAGATGTAGTTGGAACAAGACTTTTAATATCATTGCATGAATTGGCCCTGCTATCACATGCATTGTGTGTGGATTTCACCGTGATTGGATAATTGAGGTTTAAAATATTCTCCTTTGTCTAAGTTGGAACACCAAATGCATCTGAGATAGGGAGAGTTGAACAGATATTGATAAGGCACTGATCTATTTGCGGATGTCATTAGCGTAATGAGGGAAATTATTGGCTTTCTTCTATTGGAGGGTTGCATTTGGTTTATTTACAGTTGCCATCTCGGTGGGTACTTCATACTTTTAGACTTGAACATACTCCTTTTTTTGTCGTCAGTTTATGTTTATATATATATCTATATATCTTAAACTTTAAGAATAATTACAGGAAAAATAAACAGTAAAGTATCACCCTGCTTCCATCCCATCTCTAAGATAACAGAATTGGTGCCGAGTATGAGTCTTGGGACATTAAAGCATTAAAGAAAGGGGGTTGATCATAAAGAAGTCTAGTATCACTTATAATTGGAGTTGATGAAGGAGGACTTTTTTCCCATCAAGGGAAGAGTTAGTCCTTTATTATAGCAGACAATGTTGATGCAACTGATGTAAAGTCACTGTTATAACCAAGGTATTAAAAACTGGATTGGTCATTGAACTGATTGAGATATTGGGTCAGGGGTTAGTGGTTTAACCCGGGAGTCAAATCAGAATTAGACCGGTCATAATAAAATAATATAATTTAAATAAAAATACATTAATTCTTGATACATTTAGCCATATCCAATACTTAATATCTTATATTATATAAAATAATAATTCAGGTGATAATAATATTTGGTAGAAAATATAATAGTAAAACATTTTCTTAACAAATAATAGGAATAAAATTTTAAAAATTAGAAGATAAAATATAATTAAAAAGAGATATAAATAATCATTTAAAATTAAAAGATAAATATTTAATATAAAATAATAGGCTGCATAAAGCTGTTAACATATATATAGTTTTAGATTATAAAAATAAAATAAAATACAATTTCAAAATAAAATAGCCAGGAGCACTTTTTTCAGCAATTGAATTTCAACATTGTTTTGGAAGATGTGAGACGTGTAGCAGCAAAAAATGTTAGCCAAGAAATGACAAGATATGTACCATCATTTATTTTAAATGAAAAATAAAAAAATCCCTTCCTCTCCCTCTTTTAGAACGCTAGTCGTAGCCACACCTGCTTTAGTTTTTAGGTTTCACTCTTTCTTCTTCTAGCTGTTCGGCATTCTATATCTATATTTTCAAATCTGCTTCTTGCTATTTTTCTGTCCTTGTTTCATCGACTTGTAGTTGTTTGTCCTTTATATTTGTTCTAGATCTACTCAATATCTTGCTGCTCAGATTTGCTCGTCGTTCATATCTGGAATGGAGCAGCATATCTCCGCCGCTAGCTTCTTCTTCATCGCTGCTCTTCTTCTTTTTCTGGCATCAAAATGGAGCCTTTGGAAGGAGGAAAAAGGGACCTGTTCAACTTGCCCAACTCATGGGGTTGAACGGGTTGCTTTGAGTTTTTTCCGAGTCAACCGGGTTAATCCGGGTTGAGCTCTGTTTGATCTATGTAGCAAACCGGACCAGACATGTGGCCGATTTTCCAGTTCACCGATTTATTTAGCCAGTCTGGTCCGGTTTTTCAAACCATAGGTATAACTCCTCTTTCAAGTTAGTTACAGCCTCTTCAATGGGTTAATGGAAGAGGAAAATGGATAGAAATAACTAAGTCTATTACAGTGAATATAGCCGCAACAGGAATTTAAACTAGTGAATGAAACAATAAAGAGACAACTTCCCTGACTTTCGAGAGGTCAGGCCTCCCTCCAGCAAACTATTGTCTGAATGACCCTCTCCTATGGCACACAACCCTAGAAAACAGCCACTGCCTTCCCTGTATTGGGCGTTGGGCCTGACTGTTATCTGTCTTTTCTTCCTCTTAGTAGGCTTCTTTCTTCTATAAACTTGGCCCACTTGAA